GACAAATTTAACGAGAAGTCTTGCACCAAATCCGATTCCTGATTCGTTTTTATCATGTCAAAATTAGTGTCTTTGGAGTTTTTCAGGTGTGTAGGACGCTCAGGGAGAAAAAATATTTTTCGATCTGAACTAACCTATATTATCATGAACTGCTGATTTTGACAAATTTAACGAGAAGTCTTGCACCAAATCCGATTCCTGATTCGTTTTTATCATGTCAAAATTAGTGTCTTTGGAGTTTTTCAGGTGTGTAGGACGCTCAGGGAGAAAAAATATTTTTCGACCTGAACTAACCTATATTATCATGAATTGCTGATTTTGACAAATTTAACGAGAACTCTTGCACCAAATCCGATTCCTGATTCGTTTTTATCATGTCAAAATTAGTGTCTTTGGAGTTTTTCAGGTGTGTAGGACGCTCAGGGAGAAAAAATATTTTTCGACCTGAACTAACCTATATTATCATGAACTGCTGATTTTGACAAATTTAACGAGAAGTCTTGCACCAAATCCGATTCCTGATTCGTTTTTATCATGTCAAAATTAGTGTCTTTGGAGTTTTTCAGGTGTGTAGGACGCTCAGGGAGAAAAAATATTTTTCGACCTGAACTAACCTATATTATCATGAACTGCTGATTTTGACAAATTCAACGAGAAGTCTTGCACCAAATCCGATTCCTGATTCGTTTTTATCATGTCAAAATTAGTGTCTTTGGAGTTTTTCAGGTGTGTAGGACGCTCAGGGGGAAAAATATTTTTCGACCTGAACTAACCTATATTATCATGAACTGCTGATTTTGACAAATTTAACGAGAAGTCTTGCACCAAATCCGATTCCTGATTCGTTTTTATCATGTCAAAATTAGTGTCTTTGGAGTTTTTCAGGGGTGTAGGACGCTCAGGGAGAAAACATATTTTTCGACCTGAACTAACCTATATTATCATGAATTGCTGATTTTGACAAATTTAACGAGAACTCTTGCACCAAATCCGATTCCTGATTCGTTTTTATCATGTCAAAATTAGTGTCTTTGGAGTTTTTCAGATGTGTAGGACGCTCAGGAAGAAAAAATATTCTTCGACCTGAACTAACCTATATTATCATGAACTGCTGATTTTGACAAATTTAACGAGAAGTCTTGCACCAAATCCGATTCCTGATTCGTTTTTATCATGTCAAAATTAGTGTCTTTGGAGTTTTTCAGGTGTGTAGGACGCTCAGGGAGAAAAAATATTTTTCGACCTGAACTAACCTATATTATCATGAACTGCTGATTTTGACAAATTTAACGAGAAGTCTTGCACCAAATCCGATTCCTGATTCGTTTTTATCATGTCAAAATTAGTGTCTTTGGAGTTTTTCAGGTGTGTAGGACGCTCAGGGAGAAAAAATATTTTTCGACCTGAACTAACCTATATTATCATGAACTGCTGATTTTGACAAATTTAACGAGAAGTCTTGCACCAAATCCGATTCCTGATTCTTTTTTATCATGTCAAAATTAGTGTCTTTGGAGTTTTTCAGGTGTGTAGGACGCTCAGGGAGAAAAAATATTTTTCGACCTGAACTAACCTATATTATCATGAATTGCTGATTTTGACAAATTTAACGAGAACTCTTGCACCAAATCCGATTCCTGATTCGTTTTTATCATGTCAAAATTAGTGTCTTTGGAGTTTTTCAGGTGTGTAGGACGCTCAGGGAGAAAAAATATTTTTCGACCTGAACTAACCTATATTATCATGAACTGCTGATTTTGACAAATTCAACGAGAAGTCTTGCACCAAATCCGATTCCTGATTCGTTTTTATCATGTCAAAATTAGTGTCTTTGGAGTTTTTCAGGTGTGTAGGACGCTCAGGGAGAAAAAATATTTTTCGACCTGAACTAACCTATATTATCATGAACTGCTGATTTTGATAAATTTAACGAGAAGTCTTGCACCAAATCCGATTCCTGATTCGTTTTTATCATGTCAAAATTAGTGTCTTTGGAGTTTTTCAGGTGTGTAGGACGCTCAGGGAGAAAAAATATTTTTCGGCCTGAACTAACCTATATTATCATGAACTGCTGATTTTGACAAATTTAACGAGAAGTCTTGCACCAAATCCGATTCCTGATTCGTTTTTATCATGTCAAAATTAGTGTCTTTGGAGTTTTTCAGGTGTGTAGGACGCTCAGGGAGAAAAAATATTTTTCGACCTGAACTAACCTATATTATCATGAACTGCTGATTTTGACAAATTTAACGAGAAGTCTTGCACCAAATCTGATTCCTGATTCGTTTTTATCATGTCAAAATTAGTGTCTTTGGAGTTTTTCAGGTGTGTAGGACGCTCAGGGAGAAAAAATATTTCTCGACCTGAACTAACCTATATTATCATGAATTGCTAATTTTGAAAATTTTAAAGAAAAGTCTTCGACCTAATCCGATTACTGATTCGTTTTTAACATGTCAAAATTAGTGTCTTTGGGGTTTTTCACATGTGTAGGACGCTCGGGGAGAAAAAATATTTTTCGACCTGAACTAACCTATATTATCATGATTTGCTGATTTTGACAATTTTAACGAAAAGTCTCGGACCAAATCTGATTCCTGATTCGTTTTTAACATGTCAAAACTAGTTTCTTTGGGGTTTTTCAGATGTGTAGGACGCTCGGGAAGAAAAAATATTTTTCGACCTGAACTAACCTATTTTATCATGAACTGCTGATTTTGACAAATTTAACGAGAAGTCTTGCACCAAATCCGATTTTTGATTCCTTTTTATCATGTCAAAATTAGTGTCTTTGGAGTTTTTCAGGTGTGTAGGACGCTCAGGGAGAAAAAATATTTTTCGACCTGAACTAACCTATATTATCATGAATTGCTGATTTTGACAAATTTAACGAGAACTCTTGCACCAAATCCGATTCCTGATTCGTTTTTATCATGTCAAAATTAGTGTCTTTGGAGTTTTTCAGGTGTGTAGGACGCTCAGGGAGAAAAAATATTTTTCGACCTGAACTAACCTATATTATCATGAACTGCTGATTTTGACAAATTCAACGAGAAGTCTTGCACCAAATCCGATTCCTGATTCGATTTTAACATGTCAAAATTATTGTCTTTGGGGTTTTTCACATGTGTAGGACGCTCAGGGAGAAAAAATATTTTTCGACCTGAACTAACCTATATTATCATGAACTGCTGATTTCGACAAATTTAACGAGAAGTCTTGCACCAAATCCGATTCCTGATTCGTTTTTATCATGTCAAAATTAGTGTCTTAGGAGTTTTTCAGGTGTGTAGGACGCTCAGGGAGAAAAAATATTTCTCGACCTGAACTAACCTATATTATCATGAACTGCTGATTTTGACAAATTTAACGAGAAGTCTTGCACCAAATCCGATTCCTGATTCGTTTTTATCATGTCAAAATTAGTGTCTTTGGAGTTTTTCACATGTGTAGGACGCTCAGGGAGAAAAAATATTTTTCGACCTGAACTAACCTATATTATCATGAACTGCTGATTTTGACAAATTTAACGAGAAGTCTTGCACCAAATCTGATTCCTGATTCGTTTTTATCATGTCAAAATTAGTGTCTTTGGAGTTTTTCAGGTGTGTAGGACGCTCAGGGAGAAAAAATATTTTTCGACCTGAACTATAACCTATATTATCATGAATTGCTAATTTTGAAAATTTTAAAGAAAAGTCTTCGACCAAATCCGATTCCTGATTCGTTTTTAACATGTCAAAATTAGTGTCTTTGGAGTTTTTCAGGTGTGTAGGACGCTCAGGGAGAAAAAATATTTTTCGACCTGAACTATAACCTATATTATCATGATTTGCTGATCTTGACAATTTTAACGAAAAGTCTTGGACCAAATCTGACTCCTGATTCGTTTTTAACATGTCAATACTAGTTTCTAGGGGGTTTTTCAGATGTGTAGGACGCTCGGTGAGAAAAAATATTTTTTGACCTGAACTAAACCTATATTATCAAGAAGTGCTATTTTTGACAATTTTAACGGATGGGTTTGGACGAAATCTGATTCCTGAATCTTTTTTAACATGTCAAAATCAGTGTCTCTGAAGATTTTCGGATGTGTAGGACGCTCGGGAAGAAAAAATATTTTCCGACCTGAAATAACCTACATTATCAATAATTGCTATTTTCGAAACTTTTAACGAAAAGTCTTGGACCAAATCTGATTCCTGATTCGTTTTCAACATGTCAAAATTCGTGTCTTTGGAGTTTTTCAGATGTGTAGGACGCTCGGGGAGAAAAAATATTTTCCGACCTGAACTAATCCTAAGTATATATTATCATGAAGTGCTATTTATGACAATTTTAACGGATAGGTTTGGACGGAATCTGATTCCTGAATCGTTTTTAACATGTCAAAATTAGTGTCTTTGGAGTTTTTTAGAAGTGTAGGACGCTCGGGGAGAAAGAATATTTTTCGACCTCAACTAACCTATATCATCATGAATTGCTATTTTTGAAAATTTCAACGAAAAGTCTTGGACCAAATCTGATTCCTGATTCGTTTTCAACATGTCAAAATCAGTGTTTCTGAAGATTTTCAGATGTGTAGGACGCTCGGGAAGACAAAATATTTTCGACCTGAACTAATACCTACATTATCATGAATTGCTATTTTCGAAAATTTTAACGAAAAGTCTTGGACCAAATCTGATTCCTTTTAAACATGTCAAAATTAGTGTCTTTGGAGTTTTTCAGATTTGTAGGACGCTCGGGAAGAAAAAATATTTTTCGAAAGTTGATGGTGCCCACTTGACACTAGGTCACGTGACCACAACAATTTGCATGCCAAATAGTAGTGAAAGAGGTACCTTTTCGCCTGAATTTCACTCGACCTCGCTAGCTTGTTCCGTTCAAAGGTTAAAGGGGGTAGGAGGACTTTTTACGTCCTCACTGTACACATCTTAGTTCATTGTGGTAAAAGTCAGAGGTATAGAGAATTACTTACAAAGATTTTTATTTTTTAGGATGGATTCGAGAGACTGTTGGTAATTATTTCATTCAAATACACATGCTGAATATTTTGACCTACGCTACTATAATAAGCTGGTTATTAGAAGGACGAATCAGCACTTATTTGAAGAATAAAAAATTGAGAAAAAATGAGACTAATCCAACGTAGATTTTTCAATGTATGTTACTTAATGAGATGTATTATTTAGACTTACTAAATATTATTTTAGTATAACTTTGACATTTTCAATACCGCCCACGGAATATTGGGCTTATAACACAAAAAATTTTTTTTCCATAATTCGATAGAACTCACCCAAACTAGCTCACCACCGCAAACCGTTTATCGCTGTGAGCTCCCTACGTTTTATAAAAAAATATTGAAATCCCCGATTTTTCGGACCTCTGAAAACGAGGCGATGATGTGACGTCAAAACCCTAATACTGAAACAGGACTATTCCAGACAGAGATGAATGATACATGATTTCTGGCAGAGTGAATTAGCGCGAGATCACAGTTGAAAGAATTAATATATCAGTTGCCTCAGTCTCCGTCCGGCGTCTGGTATTTTCTTTTAACTATGGCGAGATGAGATTTCTACGTCATAAGAGGGTACGTTTTCAGATGGTACTATTATTTATGTCAAAAAATTGAACATTCCAGTAAATTTTTCTATCGAATTATGTCGTCAATCATTATTTATGTATGGAAGGATCATTATAAACATGGTTTGAGTTAAAAGTTCTACCAAGGTGTACACGCCCATTCGAAATGCCTACCTACTACTCAATTTCATTATGGAAAATACAAAAAAAACCATTTTGATCCATCTGAATCCTGTACCAATTCCGGAGGGTTCAAAAGTAAATACAGGCAGTTTTTCTCAAAATTCGTTGAAATAGAAATATAAATGTTCAGTTGACCAAAAATTTATGCATGTATATTCCAACAAATTTCAAATTCCGTCCAAAGGTCAATTTGTCATACATCATTATATTATAAAAAAATCTCGAACAGAAAAATGAATTAAAACATGGTCGAAGGAGTTGACAGTTACTAAGTTGCTGAAGTTACAGTTGAAATTGAAGACATAATAATCAAAGTATTGTGTTGCTGGGCACGTCCATTGGTTCAAAACATAGTGTTCAAAATAAATTTATGGAATTTTCAAGATGATAATACTACACATCAATCTACGACTCTAGAGAGATTGATGAAATAAACCTCTGGTGTACGCACTCCACTCTCCTGTTTTACAATTTCTTCATTTTCGCCTACTTCGATAAACATAATATGGCGTGGGTGAATCTCGCTAAGTTTAGTCTGGTGCCGTACCAAAATTACAGGCATAAATGTAACAATGATTGTGACCGAATCGTGACCAATGAAGATAGGGAATACATTTTGCGATTTAGCCACATCAAGGTTGGTAGAGCTGATGTTGATCATAAGTTCTAGGAATCACGCCATCTAACATTCAATATGCGAACCCTACGTCATCGTCTGAAATTCAATTGTTTATATCAAGAGCCAGACTGACGAAACAAATGAAAAGTGAGCGCACCAGAGGTTTATTTCATCAATCTAGAGAGCATAATATCACCGTCCCTCTGTCTGTCGTTCTTTGGTCGACCTATGGTCGACCGACGATTTTGTGAATTACACCATAGTCGCTTCAAAGGGAAAAGCAGTCGGCATTCTCTGTCGGCACAAGATGCTCGCTTCCACGCTATTTATTTACTTGTATACATTTGTAATAATCTTGATAATTGTCTCTCTGCCAGCGCCGAGGTAATAAGATGCGCCGGGAAAGCTAAAAAAGCCGACCATAGACGTGCCCGATCGAAACTGCTCGGGTGTCCCCCAAGGAAGACACCTAGGACCCTTCAGGTAGCGTCTCAATAGGCGTTTTCGGAAACTTTAACTTTCTCTGGGTTGATAACTCGATCCAGATAGGTCACGTGACAAAAAACTCGGATCATCTACTCGTGTTCAACGTTTACCCAGCGAGCACAAACATCCCTGGGATGTTTTGAAAATGTTGGCATGAAGATGTTATTTTGAGACGTAATATGCACTGACCAAAGAGGTCTTTGAAGGATATTGAAGTATTGTTTTTGTTCTTCTGTGGCACTTCTTTGTTTGCCTACTGAGAGGTATCCCTGGGATGTTTTGGGATGTTTTAGAAATGTAGGCATGAGGATGTTTTTTTGAGGCGTAATATGCACTTCCCAAAGAGGTCTTGGAAGGATATTGAAAGTATTGTTTCTGTTCTTTTGTGCCCTTTCTTTGTTTGCCCCACCACAACGTCTCATGCTTACCATAATACGATAAATTCTGATTTGTTTTCGATTTTGTTCTTCTTGTTCGCAATTGGCATTCGCGTTTGCAGCGTGTCACGCTTACATCACGCTGCTAACGATCAGAAAGAAATTTGGTGAAGTTTATTGTGTTAGAAGACTCATTTAGTTTTTAATGATGACCATCAGATGCAAGATGTGTTGTTCGGTGCCTCAGTGTAATCAATATATAAAAGTACGAATTCATCAATACACATCTTCTCCGCAGTTGCAAAATTATGCATTGTGGAGAACATTTCAAAAATTGGGAAACCTATTTCCAATTATATGTCTGTGTGTAGTAAGCACTACTCAGAAACCGATTAAGAAGGTAATTTCATATCAAGAAAATATTTTCATGTTCAATCTATTTTTAATGCATTTTTTCATTCAAGGGAACTGGAATCCTAATGCAAAAGTTCATTTTGACAAAAGGCTTCAGAAAAGTACCTCGAAAATGGTTTTTTTACAGCGATTTAATGTGCGCAAGACGCGTTGAAAATGTTCTGTTGTGTCCATGAAAAGGCTTTAAAAAGAACTAGGGAGAAGGTGGTTTTGTGACATATCAAGGACATCTCGATAATTGCCGCCTGCGGCGGACATTGGCTGTTCTATAATAGTTCTATTCATGTGTGAACAGAACATCGCAGTGGAGGTTCAATGTCTCGAAATCACGTACTTTTAACATCTCTGAGATGTTTTTGTGCTCGCTGGGTACGAACGTGTCAGGTTAGGAACACTGAATATTATATTTTTCCTGTGGTTTCATGAATTTGACAGACGAAAATGGTCACATTATATTCAAGAAATTATTTGATCTGATTACAAATATTGATATTTACCTGTGGATTGGTGTACTTGTCTCATATGTAATGTTGCACATAACCACAAACTTCAATCCTACCCAAATTCTCTTCTCAATGAATTACTTTAATCGAATTATGAAGATTGAAAAGAACATGTATATCTCCGGTCGTGTTTTTTGCCAACATGCAAATTATTGTATTATTATTGTTATCGTCGAATGTGAACTCCCGCGTTTTTTTATTGACTTAAATATCTCAACTTTAAATAAAATGCCCTTCACAATGAACATCAAACTTCACACGCGGGAGGCAATGGATACTTTTGCTCCCTTGATATATAAATATATAGCTATTTTCAACACGTAATTGTAATAATTCATTTAAAATTTTTCTGTTAGGCTATTTATGAAAGCGTGTTTTACAGTTTTTTGAACTATATAAGTACTGAAAAGGAATATTCTCAGATATAATTATGAACATAAAAAAGGGATATACCGGGTGGTCCATTCAAGACTATCCACCCTCGATATCTCCCAGAATAATTATTCAACAAAAAAATGACGAAACAGGTCGATTTTTATTTGGAGGGGGACACCTTTTGAGGCAAAATAAATGATCCATACTTCAACCCTCTACTCTCCAGAGCAACCCCCTCAATGATTTGAATAGGGAATAAGGGTCGTGTAATACATCATTGGAAAGGTGATTTAATTCGGAAACTAGCAGTGCAAAGTTTTTTGAATTCCAACAACTCGTTCTCGAGATATTCGCTTTCGAATGGTATGTTTTATAATTGTGAGTAATTGAATGTACGGAATGAATTAATGAATGGTCATCTACAACAAATGTTCAAAATCACCTACATTGACTTCCAGACAGTGGAAGAATCTATTTGTAAATTCCTTTCGCAAATTTGAAATATTCCTCTAGATATTGTCAGGCATTCAACCCTAATTCATTTTTCTTATCGTCCAGATCAGTAGATTCCGTTTCATAAATAACGGATTTTGGTTGACCCCAAAGGAAACAATCACTGGACACCATGTCCGGCGAGCGTGCTGGCCATTTTATTGATCCTTCACGACCTATTCATTTGTTTGTGAAATTTTTGGGTAGCCATTCATTCACGTATGATACGGGAGGTGACACATATCTTGTTGAAACTAAATATTATCTGCCAATAGATTTCGACTACCATCATCATAAAGGTCCTTAGCGGACCATTAGAATAGACAGCACATCTGCCGGCTTGGCACCCAATGATTTCCTTTTACGAAGTAATTTGAAATCCCTTATCTATACAACGCGAAACCCACTGACCTGAACGATGTGGAAAGAAGAATAAGGATCGAATGCCAGATGAATATCTTCAAATGTTTCTATTAGCAGAAAATATTTTTTTTCATTAGGATGGTGCTCCACCTCATTACATATTGCAGGTGAGAGAATGGCTATCCCAGAATTTTCCAGACAAATGGATTGGTCGTAAAGGACCAATAGAATGGCCAGCACGCTCACCGGACTTGGCACCCAATGATTTTTCCTATGGGGTCATTTAAAATCTGTTATTTCTAAAACGGAACCTACTGACCTCGATGATTTGGAGAGAAGAATAAGAACTGAATACCTGGCAATATCTAGAGAAACATTCTCAAATGTACAAGAGGAATTTTCAAATAGACTCTACCACTGTCTGGGAGTCAATGGAGGTCATTTTGAACACTTGTTGTGAATACCTGTTCAATAATATCTATTTTGTACATACATTTACCATTTACTCACAATTAAAAAACATACCATTCGAACTCGAATATCTCGAGAACGAGTTGTTGGAATTCAAAAAACTTTGCACTGCTAGTTTCCGAATTAAATTACCTTTCCAATGATGTATAACACGACCCTTATTCCCTATTCAAATTATTGAGGGGGTTGCTCTGGAGAGTAGAGGGTTGAAGTATGGATCATTTATTTTGCCTCAAAATGTGTCCCCCTCCAAATAAAAATCGACCTGTTTCGTCATTTTTTTGTTGAATAATTATTCTGGGAGATATCGAGGGTGGATAGTCTTGAATGGACCACCCGGTATATATATAAAGAAATACATTGAGAAATCGCATTCTCTATGTGATGAAAATATCAATTCTTTCTCGGTTTACTCAACAAAAAACAACTACTTTCCTGGCTTTATGCCACGACGAACATTGAAATATATCTATTGAACACACACGATGAGAATTTGAATACAAAATCTTCTGAAGTAGAGAATTTGCATTCTCCTTCATATAAAGATATGCACATATTATCATTCTGAATATTCAACAGAAAACAACTACTTTCCGGAATATTTGCCACGTCGAACATTGTTTTACTATCCGCAATAACCATTCTTGGGGAAATCACGTGAGATCAATTGCTAGAAGTGCATCCCAAAAACTTGGTTTCCTGTTTCGGGCCAGGAGCTATTTCAATTCCAGACAGCTGCTTATGATCTATATTATATAAGGCACAGATCCGACCTGTCCTGGAATACTGTTCCCATATTTAGAGTGCAGCACCCAAACATACCCTGAAACTATTGGATTCTGTCCAAAAAAGGGCAATAATTCGTCTCGTGGGTGATGCCTCGCTCACAAACTCACTCACTTCTTTGGAACACCGTAGAAAAGTTGGCGATCTAGCTCTATTTTATAGATATTTTCATGGACGATGCTCTTCTGAAATATCAACAATTGTTCCTCCCTTGGCAGTCCCAGCGAGATGAACCCGCCCAGTTGAGGCTTCGCACCCCTTCGTGGTCACTTTGGAGACCTGCAGAACATCTCTTTCCAAAGACTCGTTCATCCAACGAACAGCGAGGCTCTGGACCACATTGCCAAGGGAGGTGTTCCCGAGGCATATAATCTCCAGAAATTTAAACCAATTCCTACCTTATTTCCCTTGGTTCTTACGATGTTCTCTGAACATTACAGGATATCCCTTCTCGTGGGAACCAGAACATAAAAAAAAATCGGTAGATTTCCGTTCATTTTATGAACTATTGTGATGGTAATGACTTTGAGTTTATCTCTCTTTGTGAAAAAATTACCATCCAAATATTCCATAATGAACCCAGATTATCTTGATAAATATGACACTTTTTGATGAATGTTGAAAAAAGGGCGAGTGATATTCAGGAAGAATATTTCAGATTTGTTTCTATTTTCGTAGTTTTATTGCAACATAACCTTCAAAATATAAAATTAATTATTCCCTTTTTGTAACTTTTCATACGTACGGCTGTGCTCTATGGGACTCGTGCACAGTTTAACGTGCATTGTATAGTTATTTTATTGACATAAAGAGCACTATTTCACCCTTAATGTCTTCTTAATTTCGCCGGTTGTTTCAAGGTATGCGCAGTTTGTTTTTTACCGTATGAATCATAAAGAGCTTTATGTTTATGATTATGTTAATCGAGGTTTCTTTCTTGTCGAGTTGAATATGGAATTTACGATACTTACTTCTCGATTCGGGACTATCAAGAGATTAGATACTTTGTTTGTAGCTACCCATTTGGGAGCTCACGCAATAGAAGTTTACGTAACATGTCCGAAAAAACAATTTACAGGATGTGTAGGCAAGTCCTTCAATAGTAATTATTTCGTGTAACAAGTTCTGAAAGTGATATTTTACTGGACTCCTGTGAGTCCCATGATAGTATATTGTTTAACGAGCACGGAATGATGATAGCCATTTCAAATCATACGTGTGGGCAATTAGCATTCCGTGCGAGTTATGCACTATACTTTTTCTACTGCTGTAACAGATACCTATAACAGCGAAATATTTTATTACTTCGGCTTGTAGCCTTCTGATTTTGTCTTATAAGTATTGCTTAAAATTATACATTTCATGGGAGATGAGATTTCGTGGACAATAAGACAGAATGCGAATTCCCAATGTATTTCTTTATATACAGTGTGGTCATTTAAGTGTGCAATGTATGGGAATCTTTTTAATGAATTGCACAACCAAAATACAGATAGTGCCAAAAGTTGGTGCATGTTTGGTGATCATTTTAGGTGCATTCAGAATGGTTGCAAGTCGAACAGCATATAGGGTATGTCAAAAAATATTAAAATTGCTCAGGAGTAAAGTACCCTCATTTCAGAAAATTCAGCAAAATGCTGTTGAGAGAAGTTGTTTACAATTGAAAGTTATGCCTTAATACCAAAACATGGCCTACTAAGACATTTTTTAGTTTTTCAATTTTTTTCGGTAATAATTCCAAAATTTGTAATTTTTTCATATTCACCCTGCCCACTTTCATGAGTTGATCATAACAAGATCAGCTGATCATACCTTTGTTAAAATTCAAGCATATTTGTGCAATTAACATAGATTCTAATTTTTTTGTTGCAACTATATTCAGCTCAACTTTAAAATTTCGCAAACCATATTTTTAACAAGGAAAAACATCATTAATGATAATATGCATATATTCAAAAACTCTCATTGTTTATGAAAAAGCTGTAAAAATTAATCGACAACCATGATATCTTTTAAAATAATCACGGATACCCAAGGAACAAAACAAATGAGGGTTGAAGATAATTTGGTGACATTAACTTCCGTTAACTTCCAATCTAATGATGTTTTACCTTGATCGTTGCACAAATATGCTTGAATTTGAACAAAGGTATGCTCAACTGATTTTGTTTGATTAACTTATGAAAGTGTTTAGGGTGAATATAAAAAAATTACAAATTGAGAAATTATCAACTAAAAAAATTGAAAAACTAAAAAATGTCTTAGAAGGCTATGTTTTGGTATTTTGGCATAACAATCAATTGTAAACAACTTTTCTCAATAACATTTTGCTGGATTTTCTGAAATAATGGTACTTTGGTCGTGAGCAATTTTTATATTTTTTGACCTACCCTGTATGCTGTTTGACTTGCAACTATTCTAAGTGATGCATCTAAAATGATGACCGAACATGCACCAACTTTTGGTTCTATCTGTATTTTGGTTATGCATTTCATCAAAAAGAGTCCCACATGTTGCACACTTAAATGACCACATTGTATACATACATCCATTTTTTTATGTTCATAATTATATCTATATAAATTGTAGAAATCATCCATACTCTAAGTGGTCCAATGTATTTTAAAAAGAAAAATACAAATTTCAAAGTCAGTGTGGTCGACTGACTTTGAAATTAGTGTTTTTCTTTTTATAATTATATCTGAGAATATTCCTCCTCAATACTTTCACCCAATCAAGGGGTCCAAACTTGAACGATGAAAACTTGTTATTTTATAGACCTCAATCGCAGATTCGTGATTAGGTTCTCTCAATTCAGAATTTCTTTTGCACGTCCTGTATGATGAATATCAATTTATCATACATCCAAAAACAAATCTTTCCTCTTTGTAATTAGTATAGATTATTCATTATTATTGATTGTTTTGTTGAAAACGAATTCTAAATTCCGACATAAAAAAATTTCGAGATAAATGTCTAAATTTTGAGATAAAAGTCCATTCGAGATAATACTCGGAATTTCTATGGACAATAGAAACAAAAAACCTGTGGCACTTTTACGCGAGGGGTAAATCTCCAGGAGAAATGTGTACACCAGACTTCCAATGCACAGAAACTTCCCAAAGACTTCCAAAGACTACCAAAGACTCCCAAAGACTTTCAAAGACTTCCAAAGACTTCCAAAGACTTTCAAAGACTACCAAAGACTTCCAAAGAATTCCAAAGACTTCCAAAGACTTCCAATGGAGTGTACACCAGACTTCCAATGAGATTTACCCCTCGGCTTTTACGCCATGGTGGACGGAAGAATCAAAACCACCCTGTGAGTGATAAGCGTCGAGCCACCCCCTATTGAAAGAGGTGGGGAGCCGCATATACTCCGGTGATCCTGGCCCGTCTGCTTCAGTCCGGTTCTTTGAGGCATCCCGTGTGTAGCGCAGAAAGTGAGGTTAGAACGAATCGGGCATCAGGTGTTTACGTGTTTGATCGCGTGCTTACAGACATGCGCTTCTTCGCACAGGTAGGTCCGGATTACTTGATTTTTGTTTTGGTTGTGTACAAATAAGTACACGTGGTGATAAATTTGCACTTATCATGCATTGGTTTTTTTTTTTCGAAATTGTTTTTTGGTACTTACGAATTTGATAATGAAAATGTGAACAAACCATGATTTATTAAGATATCTCACTATAAAGTTACAAAAACAATTTGCCCTTCTTTTTCCATCATCGGACAATTTATACAATTTATATGCTAATATTCAAGGGGCCGTTTGTTCGACCCATTTCAAGAATGAAACATTATATGAACATATGTCGTAAGCGTCCTAACTTTCGAAATACAGGGTGTCAATGTTAAAAATATGCAGATTATTTTTTTGTCCACCCTGTATAGCTTTTCGTGGTGGCAAAATTCAGTCTGGTATGTGACTGAATCGGTATACGAATTTCAAACTGTTACATATGGTGGTTCTCCAGTAATGGATCTCGGGATTTTCTGAATGGACTACTCAAACATCAAAATTTGAAGTCTGGTCTTGTTTTTCCGTTTTTTCTCGAAAACGAAGCGTTCTAACGATTATCAACAGGAGGATCTTTTTTGCACATAATTGAATATACTTTCATAGCATCGTATGAAATTTGAAAATTTTCCGTCGTTGGTTACTTTTAAGTAAAATTTAAACAATAATTTTCCCGTAACGGTGCCACTGGTTTTGTTCATCAGAAAATGCACCTTGATGCATAAAAGACGTGTACCAAATTTCAAAAAGATGTATGCAATATTGTCTTAGTTATCATCAAAATACTGAATATTTTTCAAAACTCCATCACCCTGTATCTCAAAAGTTAAGACTTTCAGGACATACGTTCATGTGAAGTTTTCTTGTTGAAATGAGTCAGAGAATCGCCCCCTCAAATATTAGCATGTCTTTGAGGAACACCCTGTATATATCACAATGTAAGACACATTTTTTTCTATTATACTATAAAAACAGGTATTTTTATTTTGAGAGGGGTTTGTACCCTCTAAGATACCCTCAGGAGGTTTTCATTAGATGAAAAATCACTTGAGTGAACTATTATAGGTTCGCTGTCAGGTCCCTGAAAAATCGAAAAATCATGAGATCATGGCGTTTGATAATTGATTCCACTCGCCCATTGGTTATTTATCTAGTACCTTATAACCAGGCTCTTAACAACCTAAACATACTGATTAAACAACTTCACAGGTGGCAATGTAAACTTGTTACTGATGCTGAGTACCGACGAAGAACAAATATATACACCGATTATTAATCACCTACCAAGAGATCCGAAATATTCTAGCCCTGCATAGATTATGCTGGATTTAAAATTCACTTTTTGAAATTTCATGAATAAGCCTTACTAAATATACAGGGTATATAATTATCTGTAAGGAGGTGTTAGGTGAGAATATTTCGAACATACCTATACAACCAACCAACCAGCCAGGCAAATCAAAAACCGAGTCAAAAACGAACGAGGGAGAAATGTTGACAACATGAATATGGACTTGGCAATAATTCTCGAATGGGGATCCAATACTTTGGTAGATTTCAATGCAAACAAAACACAAGCATGCCTTTTCTCTAGAAAAGCTGATCTCACTGTACCCAACATAAGCTTGTCAGGAGTAACCATTCCTTTGAAGAAACCCATTTCGATGCTTGGTATTACTGTCAGCAATAACCTTTCTTGTAAGAATCACGTGAGAACAATTGCTAAAAGTGCATCCCAAAAACTTGGTTTTCTGTTTCGGGTCCGGAGCTATTTCACTTCCAGTCAGCTGCTTATGATCTATAAGGCACAGATCCGACCTGTCCTGGAATACTGTTCCCATATTTGGAGTGCTGCTTCCAAACATACCCTGAAACTGGCTGAAACTGTTGAATTCTGTCCAAAAAAGGGCAATTCGTCTCGTCGGTGATGCCTCGCTCACAAACTCACTCACTTCTCTGGAACGCCGAAGAAAAGTTGGTGATCTGGCTCGATTTTATATATATTTCCATGGACAATGCTCTTCTGAAATATCAACAATTGTTCCACCCTTGGCAGTCCCCGCGAGATTAACCCGTCGAGTTGAGACTTCGCACCCCTTCGTGGTCACTTTGGAGACCTGCAGAACATCTCTTTCCAAAGACTCGTTCATCCAACGAACAGCGAGGCTCTGGAACACATTGCCAAAGGAGGTGTTCCCCGAGGCATATAACCTCCAGAAATTTGAGAAGAACACCAATTCCTACCTCTTTTTCCTTGGTTCTCACGATGTTCTCTGAACATTACAGGATATCCCTTTTCGTGGGAACCAGAACATAAAAAAAAACAGTACTAACAAAACATGAATTCATCCATTTTTGATAGGTTATCCATAGAAATTAGTATTCTTGTGTTTTGTAAAATCATGATGAAAAATGAATGAAAAGATGTCATAAAACCCCCGTAGTAGGTATAAAATTGAGGAATATCTGCGAGGGAGTATCTGAATTATAATTTTACATTTCATGGGCCATGAGATTTTGTGAAATAATAACACAACGAAGTCCTCGATGAAGTCATTGTGCTATCAGATAGGTACGCGGAAATAAAATTGATGACATATAAGTATTAATTTATCGAACACCGTAAAAGAAACGCAATTTTGTGTTATAGCCGTAGGAAAAATAAGCTGTTAGGTGTGAATTCAAAGTGCACAGCATACATTTGTTGTGTTGTGCTATCGTCACTCACTAGGTATGACATTATAGGTTTTTCAGCCACTATCATTTACTTTACCTGTGAATTAACCCATTAGTGCATGAAGTTACTTTTTTTCAAATCTCTATATTCTGAAGATGTTTACTCATTCAAATATACCCAAAGAATGATAACTCATGACGAATGATTTTTTTTTTACAACAGTTTTTTTTTTATATGACACGTCCATTTTAATGGACTCTATGCAAATTGGTTCATTGATGAAAGTGATCAGTAGGGAATTTCAGTATTCATTTTTATTCAAGTACATCATATCCAGAACATGAAAAACTCAATAACATCAATCACAATATTATCAATAATAATAATAATGATAATAATAATGAAAATTATACATCATGATGACTTGATATATTTTGAAGAATCTCTCAGATGCAGTCCTATTTCACATATAAAATTGCAATTTTGTATACTCTACTGAATGGAATTCATAGCTGATGGGTATATGGAAATGCATCATATCAAGAAATTATTTGGGATGATACTTCCAGACCTTTTTTCGGTGCTCCTCACACGATCCAGTGGAAGGAAATGTGAACCCGTTGAAGAAAAAGAGGAGTCGAACGAGTGGATGGAGTCGTGTCTATAGTTGACGTGCTGCAGTATAACGTACAATCATTTGATGCTATAATATTCCTTTTCATAATGCAAAGATGTATATTATTTTCAATTTCATCAAAATCAGGATCAGAATAACGAAAGTCGCACGGCTGTTTGATAATTCCTTTAGAAATATGATTTATTATGGATTCGCAGTTTCTAAATTCGAATAACTGCATTTCTGCCAACTTTTCTTCTGGAGGCAATATAATATATAATTATCTGTTGGTTGATCGATATCTGAGCCATTTTCCATATGTCTAAGAGGTGTTGCAAGAATGATCTACAAAAAAATCTTGATGACCGATATGCATAGAGTCCATTATAATGGACACAGCACAAAGGCAATATTTTGAGTGTCTTACAAAAAAAATAATTATTCGAATTACCTTATAGGTTCATAAACACATGCATATAATGAGATCTTGAGGGATAGGAAATTCTGAAATTCATTATACTCCGTTATAATAAATACTTACCCTCCTTGTCGGGTGCAATACAAATTGTTATCCATTTGATTACGTGCAGAATATTGTCGAGATACAAATTCATGTAATAGAAAAGGAGCGTCCATTATAAGACACATTATGCACTAATGGGTCTGACCCTACCATGTTTGTGTTTGTTGAATTTTGTTGTATGTAATAAGTAAGATGTAAAAGTAGGTTACCCTTAGGAAATGTTTATGTCCCGCCTATGGCTATGGAATATGAGCAGTTTAGCCGACAGTAGCTGGATAATAAGAGAGCTGGAGACCGCTTTGAAGTCACCGACATGCACCTACACTGTTTTTAAATTAAATTACTCATTTCATGTTCTACCTCCGGTTATTCGATAGGATTTCTAACCTCAGAAACTCGATATTACGTACCGCTTCTCCTTTTCCGGTAGATGTAGGTAGGTAGACGAAAAAAAAAGAGGAATCGTTGAATCAAGCAAATAGAAATGTCATAGGTATACTGAGGTATATACTCAGTAGTAATACTATAAGTAGAATGGAATAGCATAGCTTTATTCACCTATAAGGCAAAGTTGTGAGAATTTATAGATATTACATTAGCATTAGACTATTAAAATAAAAACATTACATATACAAATTGAAACGTAGTATTATACCTACACATTAAAACGACATTAAAATAAGAGTACAGTTTAAAACAATAAGACATTATATATTATATATCGAAATTGACATATTATAAAGCTAACATCGAAGTGAAAATGTATCTGTATATATAGAGAAAAAGGCGTTCTGTAGTAGGTGACTAGATACCAGGTTCTTGAAAGAGTGATCAATACATGTTGTGGGTCATCTCACGTAATGACGTATCTCATAAAAATCGGATTTTGAGATACTTCGTCAAATGACTCTTATGATCTCACAAAGTGGCGTATCTCAATGTTCATTGTTTTTCGTGTAATTAAATATCGAAAACTCAGCCTATCTCAAATTAGTGGACTACCAAATCTCTCTAAGTGACCTAACTATGGGAGTTACGTCAATACCACGATTATATTTTTATTATTTGTTGAAAATTTCAACTATGACGTATCCGAGGACGTATCTCATAATAAATAAATTAAAATATCTTGGGCGATCTTGGGTGATGTCCTCGGTGACGTCTCAAGGTACTGAGAGGGGTAT